GGTTATCTATATATTTGAGAGAGGTCCCGAAGAGTTGCAGATTTGGAGGATATATATATATATATATATATAACAACAGATGGAAAGCTATAATTAATAATAATATAGGTGGAATTGAAACCGTCAGAACTTTATCATGTGGTTTACAATACATATCACTATATAAATTTTAATACTTTTTCTGAAAATCAAATCATAATGAAATTTTACATGTGTACTAAAAAATAAGGCACACAATTAAAAATATATAAAAAATATTTTTCAAAATATAAAATGATCAAAATACCCTTGAAAAATTATAAGGGTAATTTGATCATTTTAAATTATTGAAAATAATTTATTATATGTTTATATGGCGTGCAATAGTGTTAGGTATATACAAAAAAAATTTCATCTTAATCAGATTTATAGAAAAAAAATTTAAATTTAATTGTAACTGCCCGGCTATTATAAAGTTTACATATATATATATATATATATATTTAACCCATTTTATATTTTCCAAGGGCTACTTTTAAAATTATATAAAAAAGATGGGAAAATATAAATGACCAAAAAAATTTTTAATCTTTACCATTATATAAAGAATATTTAAAAATATATTACAAATCAAATTCTTTATTTTTTAGAATTTATATATATTTTGTTTGAATTTTTTTTTTGTAAAATACCGGTTGATCACCCTAAGCGCCCATAACCAAAACCAACCACTGGCTGGTTCCGATCTAACCGGGCCATTAGCGATTAGGTTGGGCGACTTTACGAATAATGGTATACATTTTAGTGATGCGCACCTAAAAAAAATATGAAAAAAATAATTCGTAAAATATAAATTGATCAAAATAGCCCCCAAAAATTACAAGAGTATTTTGATCAATTTATATTTTACGAATTGTTTTTTTTATATTTTTATTAAGTGCATAAACATGCTCCAAATTTCAAATCATTTGGATTAGTAAAAAAAAAATGAAAATTGAAATACTACCTGACAACTTTGACCATACGATGAAGTTTAAATGGTGATGAATATCACTTTA